ATAGCTGCTGATGTGTTGCGAATGCGTCAGATTGTGGGTGTTTCGAGGGCGAAGGTCTGGCGACGTTGACTTCTTTCTTGATGGTGCGATCAAGCATCTGGACTCCATCTCTGCAGATGCCATGCTATTTATCCTCCATGGACCCAATACCATCTACTGCTCACGGCGAGAGGAATATGAATTCCGTCGTGAACCCGCCAGGAAACATGTCGAGATGCCTTTGCGACGTATCAAGGCAACTGACCTCGCGTAGATATTTCCTCTCCTGACGAAAAGAGAGATTGAGACGCGAGTACAACTCTCGGTGGCGCATAAGGTGCGAGGGCCACAGCTCCCCTCAAGACTCTCCCCCGCATCATGGGGCTACCTTCTTTCACGCCGTCCGAAGAAGACCGACGGGATGAATGAGCGGGTTATCTGGGGAAATGATTCAGTTGGTCCCTCTTGAGGGGCCAGTCTGGTCTGTCTGTCAGCGTGTAAGTCATTGGAGTTCCTTCGGCCATTACTCGGTGCAGCCGCCCCTTCCCCCGCGTACGGGGATGCATGATGGATGTGTGGAGGAGATTGGGGTGATGAGGGGAAAAGGGCGGGCCGGTCGTCGATCAGTCCAAGACCATCGCCGACGCCTACCAAAATAGGTAATTTCGTCTCTGTCCTCCAGCGAAAGCGAAGTCTGGCTAGAAAGTGTGGCGTTTCAGGAGCAACCCAATGACGAGGGGTGAAATGTAAGCGGCGTCTCCAGGATTTGTGCAGTCGGATATCTGCCGGATTGTGAGTGTCGTGTCTTCTCTGTCCTTGGCCTGTTCCTTCAAGTTCCTGTGGCTGAAAGGAAGAATTTCAGGTTGTGCCGCGATTCAAGTCAGTTAATGTGTTCCTGACATGTATGAACGTGCCAATTTCGGCCAGGAACCCGCATCCTACTGAGACCACACAAGGGTCAAATGGCTCAGTGTTGCCATAGCCTGCCCTTTCGCTGGCCACTCACAATAGTGCCATAGGTAATACAAAGACCGTTCTGATCAGTGTAAATCACTTCAGGGGAGAACGCTTGTGAGTTTGAAGTGGTATCTTGATATTCATATCCCATAGCCCGTAATCGTACTAGTAAATGTACAAACGTGATCAAAACAAAAGCCTGCCTAGAGTGATGCCATGAGAAACGCCTCCCGTACCTTAACTAGATGTTGCTATGCTTGATCAAACAGAGTACTTGGCTCCCCCCACACCAGCACCGCCTTGCGGTTGCGCACGCTGAGCGAGAATCTGCTGCCTGATGATGTCCTTCTCCTCCTGCGCAGAAGTATCCTTGAAAACCTCGTCCATCTGCTCTAGCGTCCTGCCCTTGGTCTCCGGGACGAGGAAGAAGGCCCAGACGGAGGAGAGGAAGCACCAGGCTCCGAAGAAGACATAGGTGCCGAACCCGAGCTTGTCCATCATGGGCGGGGTCGCGACGCCGACGATGAAGTTGAAAAGCCACACGGTTGCGGTAGCCAGGGCGACACCTTTGGAGCGGTGTGAGTTGGGATAGACTTCCGCCGGGAGGGCCCAGCCCAGGGGGGAGTAGGAAACTCCATAGAGGAGAACGAAGAGGAAGGCCATAGCGACGGCGGCCCAGCCCGCAGCGGTATTGGCGCTCCAGTTCTTGGAATATACACCTGTGAGGATTGCCATGATGCCCCATGAGGTGCCACCGCCCAGACCACCGAAGATTGCCAGCGGTCTGCGTCCCACTTTGTCGATAACGAAGAAGCACACGCACACGGCGACGAGCTGTAGGACGTTGAATACACCGGACATGACGAGCGCCATCTCCTCCGACTGTCCGAGGGACTGGAACAAGGTCGGGGCGTAGTAAATAAACGCGTTTATTCCGCTTAATTGTTGGAATACGGCCACGCCGACGGCGACCGCCGTACGACGCCAGAGACGCGGGGAGAAAAGGTCCAGCCAACCAGCGAGTTCGAGTCTCAGGCCACGTTTTCCGGGGTGGTACTTCTCCTGCATGATCTTCTGCACTTCGACCTCACTGATGATGCCACGGTGCTCAGTCTGAACGCGGTGGTCGTCGGCGGGCAGTCGGCGGAGGCGGACGAGGGAGTCGAGAGCTTCCTGGGGCCTGTTGACGAGGGCGAGCCAACGAGGAGAATAGGGGTAGAAGAGGATGCCGATGCCGAGGCCGGTCGCGCAGACCATCTGGAGACCGAGAGGGAGACGGAAGGCGATCTCACCGGTCATATGACGGGTTCCGTAGGTAATGAAGAAGGAGACGACGACCCCGAGGACGATGGAGACAGATTCGAGCACGAGAAGAGTACCTCGAAGGTTAGGCGGTGCAATTTCGGAAATGTAAATTGGAGAACCCTGTCATCGAGATTCATTAGCCCGTGTTCATTCTCACCATGAGAGAAGACGGATTCAAGAGGGAGACTTCAACTCACCATTGCAAGTGTTCCGACGCCAATGCCACCGATAGTCCGGCCAGTGACCAAAACTCCGTAATTCGGCGCAGCGGTCTGCATAATAGCACCAATGTTGAAGATGACCACAACGGCCGCTAGCGCCCTCTTACGGGAAATTTTGTCGGCCAGCGTAGGCATGAACAAACACCCGAGGAACGCACCAAACTCGAGCATGCCCGTCATGAATCCCTTGCCAAAGGGTGTTGCGGCTTGTGGGAACACGTCGTGGAACTGCTTCATGACGTTGATGATGGAGATAACGCCCTGATCGTAGCCAAAGGAGAAGCCACCCAGAGACGCCAGGAGGGCGGCGCCGCCAACGTACGGAGAATCGGCGAGGCCACGGAAGCCACTGCGGCCGTAGGATACGTCCTCGGCGGGGTTGAGATTGATTTCGACATTGTCGATGAAGTCCTCAACGTGTTCGGGGTTGTCGAGGCTTTTGGCCTTTTTCAGGGAGTCTGAGCTGTTCGCCATGGTTGCGATCTAATGGGTATTGATGTGTGCTCTAGGGAGGAATGAGGATGAGACCACGGGGATGAGGCAATCACAGCCGCGGAGGGTAGTATTTGACAATGGATGATGGGGTCAGAATGGGATGAAGATCAGAAGTCAGCTGAGACGAAGAGGCTCTTATATACTAAATACGTTTCTGGGGGGCTTGGTGTTGAGGACTAGGTAGATGGACTACCAACGGGTCGCGCAGCATTAGACTAGGACACGACAAGAACCGGATTTCTGGGGAACCCCATCCGTTTACAGACTAGGGGGGCTCCTGCAATGTTGTGTGAGTGACTGAGGGCGTCGAGGGTTCGTGCCAGGACTATCTGTCAATTTCCCGGCGACGACAGACTGCGGGCAGCATTAACGCTCTCCACTGGCAGAGTGGAACACACGGCCCTCAGGTTGCATCTCTCCCCCACGGGGAAGTGTGGAGTCTCCCTCCATGTTGTGCAAACCTTCGAAGCCTTTTTCGGCGAAGGGCATGGAGAGGAGGGTAACGGTGGGTGGTGTGGGTGACTCGCACGCACTCGAGGCTTCGGTCTGAAAGTGGTGAGCAAAGAAGGCAGACAGTGGGCTGAGAGTCAGGACCAAGACCATCATCAAAGACAGCGAATATCTCATTGGTTAGACCTAGGCTTAGACTGCCTGCGGGCTGCGGCTGGGCGTCATGATAGCGGTCTTTTGGCCGAAGGGTTTCCTTTTCAGGAACCCGTCGGCGATGAGGCCTTGCCCGCCCCCCTCAGCCGCCCCGCGACGCTAATGTCCATTCTTAGTATAGTGCTATATTCTGACTTTCTGAGACATCAAAGGAGCCTGGACAGGGGTGCTTGGTTGGCGGGAGTCGGGGAGTCGGGCGCTGAGTTGATGAGACTTTGCCAAGGGGGATCAATGATGGTCCGCTGAGCACCCAACCAATGTTGTGGACTTGTTGTCAACTTGAGGAAACTGGATTGAAGCCTTTGGTTGTTCTTAATCAACCTGCTATGACGACATGGGCCCCATCTTGCCGAATATGTTGTGCTAGGGCCGGGGTCAGTCGGGATACAATCCCGCGCCCGTAAACCGGAGCCTCTTGCCCCCCGGGGTTAAATCCTTGGAGTTCATCGCTCTGCTTTAAGCCATTGGAATAGGTGATCACCCTTGCGGACTACATAACCCGCGGGATTCGATTTCCGACAACACGCATACCAAATGGGACCTCTTAAGGAAGGGTTCATCCCCCAGCGTTTCTATGGGCTCTGAATGCGATGAGAAGATTCTACGAGGCGCCTTGGTCAAATTCCGACAAAGATCAACCAAATGTGAGTTTTGCTAGGAGTGAGTTGCCCTGTTGGAGAATCCCGCGGGTTTCTGTCCAATGCGGCGGTGTCAGACACCACCAACAACGAATCAGGGAATTTCAGGCACGAGGGTGCCAAGGACTATCCCTACTCCGATCCCGCTCGCTCCCGAATAAGTAATTTCCCGACTTGCTGCTTTAGATTTCGTAGGCCTTCCAACGTGGAATCATGGGTATATAATCTGTTCGAGTTACAATTGGTAGACGTGGGCGATGATGGGGTCGACTGGGGCTTTGAAGATGGATCATTCGGCCAAACGCCAACCAGCTGAGAGCTCAGGCTCTCGCTAATGGACATTTATGTGCTGACTGACAAGGGAATCTGAAACTACGTCATTCATTAACCAGGGCGCATTTGATTGTGGATTGCGATACTGCGATTAGAACGCGCGTGAAGACCAAAGAAATAGATCGAAGCCGAGTCAATTATTAACTCACTGGCCCGGTGATCCCGGAACCCACCCGATATCATGACAAGGGCGAGATAATGACGAAGAACCACGTTGTTTTTACTATCAAACGTGTCTAATTCGAGCACACATGCCCCCCACGCGACTATGAACATGCAAGATTTTGAAACATCGTCAATTCATCAAAGTAAAGTAGCTCTAATGTCGTCACCAAACATCAACGCGCCTACGTTCCCATCCACTACATAAGACGCGCGATTCTATGCTCATTTCACTCCATCTCGATCTCTACAGCTTAGCACTATCAATGCGCTTGCCTGACTCATCGAAATCAATCTTCTTCCCAGTGATCAAACTCTCCTGCAGCGCGCAACCAATCTTGACGGCGTTGACAGCACCGGCGAGCTTCATGGGCGGCTCGGTGTTGTTCAAACAGCACGCAGTGAACTCGTTGGCCTCGGTGATGAAGGCCTCGCGGAAGCGGCCATAGTAGTCGGGAGGAATCTCGCGACGGATACCTGTGGGCTCGTAGAGGTTGACGAGGTTCAGCTGGGGCTGTGTGTTGACGGCGACCTTGCCGCTTGTACCGAAGATTTCGGTAGTGTCTTCTTGGCCCGCGGCCATCATGCGGGAGCAGAAGAGCTGGGCAATCTTTCCACCCTGTAGTTGCATGTGGTTAGCTTGGATTTACCAGAGTGCCTAGGGACAATGGGCGAACTTACGTAGAACTCGACAACAGCAACAGCGTTATCTCTATCATTGTGCTTCCTCAAACCCTCTTGCACAGCTGTGATGCCGATAGCAGACACACTCTTCACAACGCTGTCTTCTCCAAAGAACCAAAGCGCCAGGTCAATATCGTGGATAGAGCAGTCGACGAAGATGCCACCGCTGAACTCGGCGTAGTCGACGAAGAAGCCGGAGGGGTCGAGCTTATCGCACGTCTGTGAGCGGAAGACCGATGGCGCACCGATGTCGCCGCGAGCCACTCGTGTGAAGGCATCTCGGTAAGATGCGTCGAATCGACGTGAGAAGCCGCAGATAACCTTCTGACTGGGATTCTTGATGAGGGACTTTTCGTACGCTGTGACGACGGATTGTGACTGAGAGACTGAAGTTAGCCTCTCAACTCTGCTATTTCCAAGGGGCAGCATGGAGTGAATGTCAAGTATTAACGTACAATATCGACGCTTGTGCTGAGAGGCTTCTCGCACAGAACGTGTAGACCCTTCTCGATGGCCTTGATAGCCTGTTCGGCGTGTACTGTGGTGGCGCTGGCGACGATCACGGCTTGCAAAGTTGACTCCTTGCGCAGCATCTCGTCGTAGTCGAGGTACGTCCGCAGAGGACCAAACTCTGCGACGGCGGCATCGAGTTCAGCTTGCACCGGCGAGCTGACGGCGATGAGGTCGGCCTTTGGTGTCAAGGTCGCAAAGTGTCTAGCGTGTCGCAGGCCTAGATAGCTCAGTGATGGTCAGTCCATGTTGAAGTTGCCTAAGTTGAGCGGTAGAGCTTGCTCCTTCGCTGAGGTAGCTTTGAGAGCTACCCCTCGGTAGAATGAGGGGCGAGACATACCCATGCGCCCGAGTCCGGCGACGGCAACGTTGAGCTTTTCTCCGGCCATGTTGTTTTGATTGCGAAAATTTTGGGAAAGGATGTGTTTTGGGGGCTCGAGAGAGTCAATTGACTTTCAAATCTCGCAATCCGTCGAGGTACATGTATGGATAAAAGGTAGAGAGACCACAGCAATACAGCTCAGCTTTCAACCACGAGGAGGTTTGGGTGAATACGGCCTCTTTTATCATCGGCGGCTCTTGCTCTTCTTGGTTTCTTCCGGAAAGTCTCCAGCAAGCCAAATGGACACTTTCTGAACGACTCGTCCCAAGACACCGAACGCCATCCCAACGCCGGCGGACAAGAGTCTCGTAGAGCCCTCCAACACCTTCGAAACTCGGCATCTCCATCGGCGCCTCCTACTAGAAACGGTAATCCACTACTCTCTTCCCCAGATTTAGATCGCCTTTCCAGAGTTGGCGGCAACTTTGTGGGGGAAGAGGGCTTGGGGGTGCGGGGTAGATTAAACACATAAGACCGGTTGGTCCTATTTTCTATGAAGAGTTACACCGCATGTTTTTGGTTTGGTTATTTGTCTTGTGTACTGTCCGAAGACCGAGGGCGCTTGATGCACGCTCATCTTTGTGGACTAGTAGAGTTGTTTGTTTGCGCCGACCACGTTTCACGGGACCGGACGGATGCATCGGCGAAGCCAAGTTTCTCCACACTTCTGAGATTACTTCTTCCAGCAAGCGTCGCCGATGCTCCGCTTCTTTCTTCCACCATCTTCCTCTTCGTCCGCCTATCCTAGCCGCCGCCGACGATTTCGACTCTCCACAGCTCCTGGATCACGGACCACGAGCCAGGCGAGACTTGCCCTTCCGAGTTCGAAGAGGTAAACGACATAATATACCCATCCCACCGGCCGGCGACGACAAGCAGGTGTCACTTTGTCAGATCAACCTGAAGAGGACCAGCAAGCTGTAGCCGTGGTCAATCTGCGTCAGCAGTGCCCCGCGCTCATCCCCGCGGGAGATGCCAAGCGCCACGAAGCCATGTGCAAGATGCAAAGGTATGTGCCCGGGCGCGCGCGTGCGCGTGTCTCCATACCCTCGTGACCTTGTTCAGGGTTCCACTGGTCTGACGTCAACTTATCTGGGGTAAAACAGAGCGACATGAGAAGTGTAAGTTGCGTAGAGTTTTATTATCTGAAGCTGTGTTGCTGGGATTGAGATTGGGTTTATCACTCTCGGTCGGAAACGATCCTAGTTCACAACCTTGGGCCACTCATCTGAAGTCTCTCTGGGTATCTGACAATGATTCGACACTTTAGGCGATGACCAGCAACCCCGTTGTAGTAGATGCGAGAAGCGCAACGTCGAGTGCTTCCGTCCTGAGCGACGACCTTCCTTCCGCCAGGGCTCTACTGCCAACTATGACGGGGCCTTCTCTCGGGAGCAGCGCTGGGTGAACAGTCGGCCTCGAGCTTGTAAGTCTTAGCTACCTAGAAGAGAGTTACCCTGGGGCGATGCCATCGATCTCGACATTCTGACTGGCGTATAAGTCCGATTCGACAGTCGAGCCCCGAACAGCACTCCTACGCCGACTCAGGAGAAGGACAGCAGCAACGACTCTCCTGCCAGTCATGAGCCATCATTGCCAGATACTCGGGTTGCTGCGAGTGCCATCTTACACGAAACTAGTCGAAATCTTTCCGAGGCACCGGTGCTCGTGAACCATGATAGGGGGGTCGAAGACACTCTACCACCAATACCGACGCCTACTAAACGTCGAAGAACCGAGCCTGCGCCGCAAGATGGTGGACACTTTTTTCCTGCTTCGCCAGCTGGGTCAGGAGCATCAGGGGCCTCTCCCTGGTCAAACACAGCTTTGTCAACTGGGAGAGTGCGATTGAGAGAAGACGATATATCAATTCACAGTCCTCATGCCGTACCTCAAAGCGTCGACCACTTTTCTCCTTCCGCCGGAAGTTACCACACCACGACCCAAGACCATGATCTCGTGGGGAATATACCAAATGCTCCACTACCCGAGGGCATCCAAGAAGCTTGCCTACTGCGGTACTTCGTAGAAGAGCTATCTCAATGGGTTACGTGCCACACAGTTGCAACGGTACCTAAGAAAGTACAATCGTTAACCTTTTCTCGCGTGTAGTTCGACCTCTGCGACGAAGAGAGGCACTTCCAGCTCGTCGTTGTGAGACGCGCACGCTCGTGCCAACCCCTCCGCGACGCCATATTCGCCGTCGCGGCGCGCCATTTATGTCGACATCCCAAATTCCGATCAGAGCCAGGGGGTGGCGGTGTCGTCGTCTACCAGCGCCAGCTTCTCCCTGACCTCACGCCGCAGAGTGCCTTCGAGTATATGCTCCGCTGCATACCCGCACTGCACGAGGTCTCAAGCACGCAGGACGAGGAATACCGCGAGAATCTGGCTGCCGCAGCGCTCATTCTTCGCCAGTTTGAGGAGATGGATCCCGAAGAATCCCAAAGCGCGCCGAGTTCAGATTTTGGGACCGCGAACGGGGACGGGAATGGGACAAGTTATGGCAATGCGAATAGCAATGTCAACTTTATCGATATCACAAAGGCAATTTTGAGGGCCGCTCCGTCATCGCGATGGTCTGGACTTTTGAGCGCCGTGTACTGGGTGGCGGTGAGGCAGGAGATTTACTTTGCGCTCACGCTGGGGCGATCGCCCCAGATCACGGCAAGGCCGGACCAGGGCCGTGAAGTGTCGTTTGCTAATCGGTTGATATGGTTTATGTCGGAGGTGGCCAAGTGGAAGATGGGAGACAGGATCGAAGGGGAGTGGGGTAAGTCTTTCACTTGTGCTTTTCTGAGAGACCGCAAAACGTCTGGGGCCGAGCTTTACTCCATTACGATGACTGACGTATACCGTCCAGAGAGACTGAGGGTTGAAGAGAGCATCCTTGCAGTCGAATGTACGCGGCAGTTTATACCCATAATGCAGAGGCCAGCGGATAGGTCTCAAGGCGAAATATTCCCCTTGGTCTGGTACGGTTCCGATGTGGAAGTTACTGCGCTACAGCATTTTATCTTGGCAAGGATGATTCTCCTAGCCGAAGATCCTAGTCTACAGTATGCAGACGCTTCCCTGCCTCTCAAAATAGATAGCTACTTTACACTACGCTTCTATGAACCCTTCATGCTATTTGAGGATTATGCTGACAACTTTGGGCTTCCAGTGGACAAGTCTCCAACCGGCGAGCACATCGAGAGGCCGAACATCAAGTCCGAGAAATGACATTAGAGCTATGTGGTCTAGCTATGCATCATCTAAGAGCACCGCCAAACTTGACCACTGCAGGGATAGGGATCATGTTATACGGGGACTATTTCAACGACCAGTGGGAGAGAGCGGCATTGGTTGGAGTGCTGGAAGAGTGGAAGAGCCATCACGCTTGGCCTGTGAGAAAGGGGTACCAAGCACTCGGTGTGGACTACGTCCCATAAATGTTACAATCAAGAAACCTCTGCACGTATATCGTACACAGAGACAGCGACTGTATCTGTCGAGTGACTCTATGATACCTGTGTCGAATGAGTGAACGATAAGCTGAATTCGGCGTCCTACTTGTCTCATAGGTAGTTTAGCTGCATGAAAGCATCTATTCCAAGGTTGACATTTGCGTTGGATTGGTACTTCCGCGCCATTGACATCAAAATACAGGCGAGACTTTTCTAGATGCTGGGAACGACATCGACAGTCCTAATTAATCAGACAGAATTCGAAAGTCGAGTCAGTCATGGCCCAGGCTTTCAATGTCAGTGATCTTCACCTAGCGCATTCGTAAAGTTGCGGATCAAGCCAAGACAATAGTTTGAGGGCAACAAAGACTGGAAACATCGATTATTCGACCGGGTAAGCCCGAAAGATCTGCAATGCGCTGTTAGATCCAACATCACTTAAGGTACATAAGGTATGCGACTTCCACAGGGATGTTGAAGATCGATGTGTTGACGATGTTTGGTGCCTGATGGAAGGAAAGCTGCCAGAAACCAACTGCACTGCGTTGTCCCGATACCTCGGCTCAAGAGTCTCGTTACCCCGGTGCGGACCTACCTACTCCTGTGGTGTGACGGGCATCGCATGATCCCAAGGGCGGCATCGTGAGGTTACGCCATTTGCGGGTCTGATTGCCAATTGGACCCAAAGAGACACGTTTAAACGAATTTCTACCAAATCCTTCATAAAACCTTAGGCCTTGGAAGTTGCAGTTCAAGAACCCAAACTGTCAGTTGCACGTGTACTCCATACTTGTGAAGTCTTCCAATTTTGCTGATCCCCGGCCGGATCCGAAGAACAGTCAACCTCATTGGCGCGCGTCTTTAAGCTTCGGCAATCACCCATAAACATGGCTGGGATATCCCCACACAAATCCCCAGATCTCAACGGCAATGAACTAAGACGCGGGGAATGTAACACTGCCCTCGGCGAGCTTTTGACCGATGTGACGGCCTTTCTATGAGGTCACATTGCTGTCTGCGAAAACAAAACACACCATACGCGCCAATGATCACGGTGTCGGACCTGCATGTGCTGTCAGCTAACCCCAACGCGGCCACCCTACCGTCTTGGGGGTGGATTATCATCACTCGTTTACGAGTCACGAAATCAAGGAAAGCTTTCCTCCGAGCTTGCGAAGCTATTGATGATGATCAGGTTGACATTGTCTTGGCGTTGACATCGTATCCCCTCACTCGAAGGTCAATGTGGGCGGCGTATATAACATACCCCGCTGCTCGAGCAATGCCGTCTCTCGTCCTCCTTCAAGGCACCTGACTCTCTCGCCGTCGGCCTCGTCATCTCTCAAATTTTCCACGAGATTAGTGTTCGGAAAATCACATCATGAAGTTCCTCGGAGCCGCCGTTGCTGGTATTGCCAGTCTGCTCTCCTACCAGGCTGTCGCGAGCCCCGTCCCAACCCCAGTCGAGGCCCGTCAAGCTACCGGAACCATCTCGAACAATGTCATCTTCTCCCCGCCGTCAAACGCTGGCTGGGTTGACCCCCGCGTCCTGTACGCTCGCACCATCCAGCTGGACTCGGGCGACCTGATCGCCACCTGGGAGAACTACTCCCCCGAGCCTCCCATCGTCTATTTCCCCGTCTACCGCTCTCAAGACGGTGGAGCCACCTGGGCTGAGATCGGCCGTGTTCAGGACACCGTCAATGGCTGGGGTCTGCGCTACCAGCCCTTCCTCTACGAGCTTCCGGAGGCGTTCGCTGGTTATCCCGCCGGCACTATCTTGCTCGCTGGTAACAGCATCCCGACGGATCTGAGCTTGACCAAGATCGATGTCTACGTCAGCACTGATGGCGGTGCCAACTGGGAGTTCCTCAGCAGTGTTGCCAGCGGAGGCGAGGCCCTGCCCAACAACGGCCTGACCCCCGTCTGGGAGCCTCACTTCTTGTAAGTCTGAGTCTAGCTTCACGAAACGTTCATCTGAGGGTAATTGCTAACCACTTCCTCCTCACGCAGGCTCCACAACGGCGAGCTCATCATCTACTACGCCGACCAGCGCGACACGAAGTACGGCCAGAAGCTGTCCCACCAGACCACCACCGACCTCAAGACCTGGAGCGCCATCGTCGACGATGTCCACGATGACAACGCCTACGAGGCACGCCCTGGCATGCCCGTCATCGCTAAGCTGCCCAACGACGACTTCATCTTCGCCTACGAGGTCTGCGGCACCGATGGCTGCCGCGTACACTACCGCCTCACGGCCGACCCGCTCAACATCCTCGCCGCCCCCAGCATCTCGCTTATCTCCACCTCCGGCACCCGCCCCGTTAGCTCCCCCTACGTTGTCTGGTCCCCTGTCGGTGGCGTCAACGGTACCATCGTGCTTAGCGGCGGCAGCCAGTCGAACATCTTCGTCAACCGGGCTCTGGGTGATGCTAGCGCTTGGGTCGAGTATGCTGTTCCTCAACCCAATGCTTACTCTCGTGCTCTGGCGGTACTTGATGATGGTAGCAAGTTGGCTATTATTGGCGGTGGAAGATTGCCTCCTAGCAGCACCAACCAGGTTAGCATTAGTGTTGTTGATCTCAATGCATTGCTTGGATTGTAGACATATGTAGCCAAAGGAATGTGACAGTAATTGGAGAGACTTAAGATCGAAGATTGAAGATACAGATTAACAATATTGAATGATCATACCAATGAGTGAGGCCATGGTCATAGCACGTACGACATTGCCCAGTGGCGCAGTTATCGCATGCGATAGACGCTAACCTCTCCCATTCAGGGCTGCATCAGGTGTCGATTTCCGCCCGGGATGTGAAGCGGGCAAACACAAGTGTGCAACCAAGAAGTACATACTAAGGTAGCACACAACCAGCTACTGTTCGCATAAGTCCAGAGTTGGATGGCCCCCAACAGTCCTCACGACGTTGCTTGCCGTACAGTTCCACCAGAAACCAACGCCTTGATGGAATTTTACAACTCTTGGAGCATTATATAGCCAAGGTAGACTTCATGGAAGTTCAATACTAGTCTTTGATGGGCCAGGTTTTCCGCTCTTAGAGAAGAGACATTAGCCCTCGGTGCTTGATAAAAAGGCCGGGTTGCGTGTTAGATGTCTGAATGAGGCATCAGTGCAGTGAGAAATCTGGTTGCCTCGTCGTCTCAGTGCATGGTTGTTTCAAGAGTTCCGGGGTGTGTAAGGAGGCTAATGGCCTGACTTCAAGATATGAATTTTCGTATGGTAGTGAAAGAAAACAAAAACCGTAGGAGGGTTTAAAAAGGATTTGAATGATTATTGCAAAAGGTTGATGTTCCTTAAGGTCTATTTTCATCACAACAACTAATGAGACTACCTTGGCTAAAGAAGTGGCTATATATCAGTAGTTGCTGCTAATTGAACTCATCATTATTCTCCATAGGAGATGTTGTGTAGAACTACATGGCTACCAATGGCTATCATGTTTGGCCGGAGAAACTGGAAACAAGACTTAATCGAGACTTCGAAGAACTTCGATATAAGAAAAGCGATGAGATCTAAAGCAGCGAAGTGCGAGGCATGATAATATGCACTTCTAGAAACAAAAGCGTCATATAGTTGCTGTCTTGAATTTGAAATGCGTTCTCCAATATAACTACTTCGATGATGGGATACGCTGGCAAGGCAACGTGGCGCATGAAATACTGCCTCTCTAAGGATTTGCGCTCCATCTTAGTGCAGGAGGGTGTGTCACCCTCATCGGAACCGGGTGGTCAGCCTGCATCACATATGCGAGGCCGGCTGGCCTGCCTTCTGATAAATAAGTGCTTGGCCCAGACGCAGCGCTCTTTTGCGGCAAGCAACGTGACACTGAATATCCCCTTTAGCTCCATCCCGACACCCGCCCCAAACTGGCCTTTGGAAGGCATTTCACACGGCTGACAACATGACCTGCGAAAGCGGTTTCGAAGGAAATAGCGACATCTATGGCTTGGGCGTAAGGATCGGCGTTTACCTCCAATGGTGTACATCGATACTGGCTCAGAATTTCTATGAGCCTGCTGTCGAAGGGATGCAGGACGCCAACAGCACGTACCAGCTGGCCATGACATGCGGCTTCATGTTCATTACCAGTAGACCGAGCGAGGGGCTCAAAACAATTGAAGGTTACATTGCCCTGCTTTTTTGTTTTGCTGGTGCCTGCATTTCCTCCTTGCAGAATCGATCGGCCTTCTCCACCGTCCTGTCGAAAAATGGTGTCGGAGAACCTCCACGACGTCGTGTTCGAACCGCAGGCGATATGCTTCTCAACGCTATCATTTCTTCATACGGCATATGGTTTTTGTTCATCGGCATTGGGAAGCTCGAGCGCACCGTATGCCAGGAAAGGGCGTTCTTCTTCACGTCTGTGGCTTTATTTGGGTGGTTTCGGTTCTTCCTCAGCGCAGGCTTCATCTTGGGTCTTCTAGTGTCAACACTCTTGCTAGTCGCCCAGGCGATAATACTCATAAGCTGGGTTTCCAATAGTCTCGACAACAACATCAACATGAATCAACGTATCTTTGGCGGCGTGAACGACCCAACGCCTAATTCGACTCGCCAGAATCAGCGGGTAGATGTTACTATCTCTACAGGGCAGCTTTTTGGAAGCATGCTTGCGCTTGGACTGTTTATTGCGGCGGTGGAAGAGACTTTGGATTGGAACAACATTTCGGGTGTTCACCAGTGTGCTGATTTCAGCCAACTGTTTCCGCTGATGATAGGAGCCACAAACTTCGCTCGCGTCGCGGCACAGTTTCTCCTGGATCATGGGAAAGGAAAAATTGCATTGAAGTGGGCAAAATAAAGGTTCAGTGGTTGACAGAACAAGACCGTCAAAATTGACCGGCATGACTACGAACAATATCATGGAGCATTTGAAGCTGATGCCGGTGCGCTGTACGCGAAGTGCGTGAAAAAGTCTTGCGGTTCAGTCCTCTCTTCTGGTCAGATCTTCGGCCGTCATTTCCACCCGATAAGCTCAAGAAGTATTCCATTCTTATCTGCACTCCGGTTGTCTGCTTGTTCAACAGCGGCGAGGTTTCCAGCCATGTGATCCTTGTCGGTAGTGCCATCGAGAACACAGATATTCCAGCCGGATGCTGTTGTTTCTTCGACCATCTGCTGTAGTAGAGCTTCGTGGGCGCTGATGTGCTTTCTCTGGGCCCTGTACTGCACCGGCAGGCTGTCCAACAGCCATGAATTGCTAGCGTCAAAGATGCCAAATAATTGATAGACAATGCCTTCCTCCTTGCAGATGACGGCCACATCATGATCGTATCCTGTCTCTTTGCGAAACCAGTTCTGCACAAATGCTGGTTTTATACGCGAGTTCTTGAGTACTGAGCGCAGTTTTTGCGGCTTGACGTTCGAAAGGCCGAGATATCGGATGCCCCCACGGTCCACAACTTGCTCCAGAGCGAGCCAGATTTCCATGATTGTTCTAGTGGGGGTCCTCGAGGCGTTGACGAAGTAACAGTCAATGCTATCTACTTTCAGTCGAGTCGAGCTTCCCATGACGCTTTCCAAAGCGAGGATAGCAGGTGCCTCAGTGTTTGGCTGCTCCTGGCCTGTACTCCTCAGATGAGCAGACTTCGGGGTTGGAATGTACTTTGATTGAAGGAAAAGATCACCTCGTCCGACCGAATCTTGCTCATTTGTCTGTGCAAGAAGGAAAGCCGATGTGGCCTGACCATCAAGTGTCTCGTCATGATGTATAGTGCCAGCTGCAGTATCGATGCCTCGATATCCCACGCTGAGTGCGGTCCCAATATCAGGACATGGTTTGTGTCGTCTTCTTGCCGTACCATACAATATTTGCGGTAACGGGTTTCCGTTGATTAAGGTCGGAGACATAGGAACTTGATGCAAATGTTGGAAAACTTCAATGTGAGTGGATCGTTTGTCGGATCCCTTAAAACGCTTTTGTACGTATCCACCGGGCCCGGATGGAGTGCCGTCAGTTAAAGATTGAACAAAATACGCAGCTGGTACAGAGGAGGGGCTCGGGTGTATTTTTCAAGGTCATATACATAGACAATGCCAACAAGAAACCCCTTGTGCTTAGCCTTGTACGGCGCACCAAGGCCCCCTGTAGCAGAACTGGGCGTTGGTTCAGTGCTGTGGTACCGGTACGTGTGAGTGACATGGGTCTACTGCTCACTCCTTGCTTACCCACCCCCTCCATCATGTAGAGTCGACATTTATGTCACTCACTTTGCATGAAATATTTGATTTAAGGGTGGGTGGACTAGGGTGACAGACGTTGTTGGGTCTTCAATATGATAACAGGAAACCTGGCCTTCCGCATGCATGGAAGGAAATAGAAATCAATAAGCACTACACCAGCGTCCACCAAGAGGGAGCTTGTTCTTCTCCAGAAGCTCGAGCCTAGCCTCATTCTTGCCGTCGTCTGCGTACTTTTCCTGAATCTCCTTCTCCAGCATCATCCAATCTGGTTCGTTGTCTTCCACCGTCGTTGTATCCGAAAGAGTGAGATCTCCTACAGCTAAGGTATCTGTGTCGCTTTCGGAGTTTTCCCAATCATCGACAAATCGAACCGTGATCTCATCGCTCTCGCCCTCCAAAATACTAGCGTCGGTTGTCCAGTGGAACAAGTCGCTGCCAGTATTGAGATGAGGCCCAAAGCCGTTGAACTCGATGACCTTGGCATCCCACCTAATACTATCCTGACTCGGCGGGGTCACCAAAACATCCATGGTGCAGGTGTCAAAGGGAATGTGGCCTTTGACGTTATTCCATACATCAACCACGGCTTCCACGAGGCCATCCGAGTAGCGCTCACGCCATCCTTTCTTTTCCCACCAAATATCTTGACTGACAGCAGTGACTTTCCCCTTGTAGCAGAAGACACGGAGCTCATGTTCAAGCCTGATTTCCGGTGACCATCGCTCGACTACCAAGGCCTCACCTGGGTCTTCGCTCCAGACTCCGTCCGCAAGAGCCAGCAGTCGGCCAGCAACCCTACCACTTGTGAGAAGACGGCCGAGAACAACTTCAGCGGTGGGCGGAAGAGGATCCGGCTTGGCAGTAGGAGCTCCGTTTGCGAAGCTGTCCTTGGCTGATGTCGCACTGAGTCTGATGAAGATAGGGTCCTTGCACACCTTAGTAGCGTCGTCCAAAATAGACTGAATACTGGCAACAACGAACTTCCCTTCTGGCGTGCCGAGAGCAGTCCTCATATTGGAGTTGAGCATCTTTTGTAACACATAGCCGAGTTTAGCCAAGAGCTCGGCTGAGAGTGTCTGGATTTTCAAGACTTCAGTCGCCATGAAAGGCGTCAGCTGATCAGAATACCAGAGATGGTAAAGGTACTTGTTGTTTCCTTCGGCATATAATGCATCGAACTCTTTGGTACCGACAGAAATCTCATCACCCCATGGGTGCATTGTATGATGGTTGTGAGAGTTAGCCCCAGCATGATGACGGAATGGGTCATCAGCCACAGGGAGTGCGAAGGAGTAGACATCGGATGTGATCCATTGAACCACAAATTTGGAAGCCATATCAGATATTTGGAAGGTTCGTATAAAAGTGACCGCAGAACGCAAAGAGGACCATAGTGAATATGAGATAGGGCTAGAGCAGGGGCTGATTTCCAGTATATATACCACCCGCTCCTAGGGATTTGCCAGTTTAGAGCACTATCCATATTATGAGTTGTCCGTCTTTGCTCATGGCTACCACCAGGGTTTCCCAGGCTCTTTTCCCCTCACATAGTGGTCCGCCATCGAGAACCCCGTCACGTCGGAGTTCCAAAAGCTGTGTGAGGTTATGCCGTTGCCTGATGTCACCGTGTCAGCAAATTACGTGAGACGTCATTGGCCACCACAATCAGTAAGGGAAGGCAGTGTGTCAGCTTTCAAGTTGTGTGACTTATCATCTATCCTTTTTCGTCGAGACGTATCCTCTGGCACATCGGGCGTCGTGTGATCAGCCACATATTCAATAACTACCTTAACCAACCAGCCATCAGCGTTCACATGCCTGTATCGATCAGTCCATGCTCACATACCAAATTAACCGGAAGCCCGCATGGTAGCTTGGACTTGTGCCGTTCCGCTTCCATCCTCGTAGTCAGGCGGAGCTGTCGTACCATCTCACTGCATGCGCGGGACTTGTCGAATTGGTGTTTATCTTTGAATCTCTACTTGATTGCTGAGGTCGGGCACAAGGCAAAAGTCAGAAGATCTACTACAGTATTAGAAAGACGGTGCATAAGAATAATTTCACTGTGTCAATAAAATCAGCGCCTCCAGATTTTCCGATGCCTTTTCGACTTTCGCTCCTGCAAAGTTTACGACCACGGACGTAACGTGTTGTATCACGGAACCTAAAGCTATCTGATAGGATTTAATCAAAGGGGCCTCCTAAGCAATTGCAGTCATGGCTTTCCTCTTATCAAGTTAAGCAACTAATTTGAGAGAATGCTACTCACTGTTGCATTGGATTCTCTTCTTCTCACGCTATTTGGCAGCCATTTATCCAGATCGAGTTCCTCTGCAAACCAGTACGCAAACGAACCCCGCACCAAGCCATGCAGTGTTTCCATTCGGATTTATACGCAGGAAATACCAATTCTCCCTTCAACTTTTGGACACCGATTTCGCACAATAAATTGTTGCTCAGCCTTGTTCGCATACAATGACTCAAATCAATCAACGCCAGGACTGGGAAGGGCCATTGAAGCTACTGCAAAAGCAGCTCTACGAGGAAGAACTCTGCCGTTTGCGGGAATGTAGATCTCTCGCTGTTTTTCAAGACCAGCTAGAAACACTCAAAGAGGATCGGGGAGCTCTCCAATTCGAAGGATCATGGAAGTTTCTCCAAACCGTGGTCAAGCGGCTTAGCCCTATAGTAGCAGCTGTTGAGTACGTTGCCCCTAGTCTAGGCATTCCTTCATGCATGTGGGGGGCCATGATTCTACTTCTTGATGTTAGTTATCCCTTGGTTTTCATTGCGTCTGAATGAACGACATTGCTAAAGTGGTATCATCTAGGCCGTGAGCTTGAGAAAGCAATATTTGGACACCGTTCTCGGGTACTACGATGGCTTAATTTCGATTCTGCCATGCCGAGAAAATCTCAAGTCGATAATGGCAGATAATCCAGAGCTTGAAGGGGTTGTGTTGAATTTCTACAAACACTACCTCGATTGTAGTGGGCAGTTTCTCCAAATGTTCTCTCCAAGACGATCTGTCGCCAAGCGTTAGTAGCACAATGAAGCGAAAAACTGGCACGTATCTGACTCGACATCATTTGACAGGGTTTTACCGGAGGGTTCTTTTTCTTCGTAACCTTTATGGGCTCTCAGATTCCATGAATGCTCTCAAGTCAGCGGCAGAAAAAGCTACAAAAGCATACCGAATCACCTCGGAGCAACAACGTCAAAATATTATACAAGAGGATCTGAATCAGATCAAATCAGCCGTCGAACAAATGAACCGAGATCCACCCCAAGAGTCTCTCAGCCGGCTTGCGTATGTTCGATCTAGCAGCTTCAGGCATACACTCCCCCCCAGCGGCATCACATTCACTGGGCGATCGGCAGAGTTGAAAGCACTACATACCTACCTTGGTCCTCTTACTGAATCAGACCATGACCAAACTCCTGGTCTGCGTTCTGTCGTTTTATGGGGCCTTGGTGGGATGGGCAAATCGCAGCTCGCATTAGCCTACGCCCATCAGCATAAATCTTCATACAAGGCTTGTTTCTGGATACAATGTGAAGATTTGGTCAACATATGCAATGGATTCATGAAGATTGCGAGAAAACTCGGTTATGAGCCTGCGGGCTTAGAGGCAGACGTACTAAGCGTCAAAAACTGGCTGGAGAACGAAGGTACTCGCGCAACAGGTTCCAAATATCCCGTACTTTCATTTTCAATACTGGCGCTAATATCTAGTCTTTTCGGGGCAGGAAAACAGTGGCTTCTTGTGTTAGACGGTGCGGACATGGGGCCAACCCCTGAGTTTCTCCAGCAGTACTGGCCATCGGGAGACGAGGGCTCCGTTCTTGTGACAAGCCAAGATAAACAATGGCAGATTTCCGACTATGTCCGCCACAACCTTGAAGTTTCCAGTCTATCTGAAGATGATGGACTTCAGTACATTAATCAGTTTATGAGGAATCACGGAAGGAGTGTTGGACCAAGAGAGGCGGCGACGATTCTTGCAGAGTCAGGCAGGCTGCCCCTGGCATTACATCAAATGCTTTCCTTCATGGTGACCGAGAGCCTTAGTGCAGAAGAGTTTTTGGACCAATTTATGAATAGCAGATCGGTGGATGACTGGGACATGTCGACATCTCGCAATCTGGCAACTTTTCTCAACCTCGCCTTCAAGAACCTCGACGATCCGACGAAGAAGGTACTCGAGAATTTATCGTTACTCGATGTCAATCGAATGCCTGGTTTCATGGTGAAGAAAACAAAAGAACTTTTGGCTAGGTAAGTCAGCACCTGGATTAAGGCACAGAACCCTTGAAATAACTCAAGGAGCCGTCTAACTTACAACAGCGATGGCGCACAATTCAATCATTTGACTCGATACTCCCTCATAAACAAATCAAAAGATGATGGCGATTTCTACGAGATGCATCCGCAGGTCAAGAGACAGGTCATCCTGCGTATGCCCCCAGAACACCTGAAAGAAAGGGCACAGTGGGTTACCGGCCAACTTCGAGAGTATTTTCCTCGCCAGTCAGTCTTTGGCGCTGAACTAGACGACACAAATCCAAATTGCCCATCATTGATAGCACATGTACTAGCTTTTAAGACGACCATAAATCGTTACAACTGCGACATTCAAGATATCGAGAACCTTGCTAGCTTGTATCTAGATGGCGGCATCTACTCTTGGGCCCGTGGGCTACTCGAGGTCGGACGAGACCTCACCGACGCAGCAAGGATGCTGTGCGGAACAGGCAAAGTTTCTCTGTTCACCAAAGCACAGATATTCTCCTTCCATGCTTCCATCATCTCCGACAGTGGGAGACTCAGGGAGGGCCTCCGCGAATTCGAGTACGCACTCATCTTCAGCATGCGCTACGTTTCCGAAACGGAGGACTCTGAGCCTTCGGAGCCCCTAGCACTACTTTCAAATGCCTATAACAATGTGGCGGCAGCCCATAACCGCCTCGGCAATTTTGAGGAGGCTTCAAGGTACAACAACCAGGCCTTAAGCTTAAAGATGAGTTTGGAAGAACGCGGTCTTCCTATGTCCCACTCCCTCTGTCTAACATACCAAACGATGGCCTATACAAAAGCACAGCAAGGGGACATTGCGGGTTCAGTTTCGTGCTTTGAGAAAGCCATCGAATACGGCTCTATGTCTGAAGAATCCATTCCGAGATTGGCATTGGCGCAACATAACTTCGCACATCTTAGGCTATTGGAGGGCAATCTTAAAGATGCCTGTGATCTATTCTTTACAGCTTGGGGAACCAGAGCTGAGAAACATGGCGACCACCCAGATACGGGTATTTCACAACACATGCTAGCTCATTGCTATCATAAATTGGGGGGAAAGGAAAACTTGGAGTTTGCTAGGTTTGCTCTAATCTATTTGAAGCCTCAAACAAGGCAGGCTTGACTGACATCACTCACTAGATCGTTATTGCAACAGGCAGTCGTACTGTTCGAGGAGCGACTTTCGGAACCCGACAATAAGAGATTAGCCTGGTCTCTGTTTAAGCTTGCGCTGGTTCAAGATGAACTTGGAGATCTCAAGGCCGGAGAGAACCGTATAAGGGCAGAGGAACTGTATTTCCAGGAAACGGGACATTCCGAAGTCACATTGACCGAGGATCTACTCAATGATTTAGTGCCATATATCTAACGTACTTTAAGGTAGTTAGGGATAGATGATATCGCGCCCTGCGCCTCCACCCCTTTAAACTTAAGCACGAAAAGAAAGAAAAACTCGGCACAATTACGTATTTATCGAAAATTCATACATCACTGTTGCAAGATTTGCTTGACAGATGATGTCGCTATATAAAGTGTCGCCGATTTACCTTCATCGTCGTCTGAATACGTTACTCTTCTTCTTTTCTCGAGAAAGTAGAAAATTATGCACAGAATCCATGTTGATCTACGAGTCAAGCAGTGGAAACGCGTTTTCTCAGCTGCATGCACCGTGAAAACCGGGGGAGGGGGGACGTCATAGGATTCCGGCGAAGCCCAGAGCCTACATGAACTCAACCCATCCCATGTCACTGATACACGGCTTGATTTCCTCTGCAATTCAAAAGTCATTGACACCCTCCTTCCTCTTTCAGCAACACACCCGCATAAAGTCAAGTTGCTGCCACACCTGCTGCAGAGTCCCTTAGACCCGATGGTAGCCTCGCTAAGCCTCAATGTACAGGGTCATTTGGACTCCCAATACATTTCATTCCGAAGTGCACGCTGGAACTTTCTGAAGACCCTTCGCTTCTCCCTCCTACTTAAGAATGGTATCTTTTCGAAGACAGAATTCGGCAGCAACCGCCCAGTCTCTCAAAATTCGTTCGCAGTTTGTTCCGCAGGAGCACCTATCTATTTCCGTGAAATGGATACACAGGAAGACCATAAAACACTAGGGAAGATCGGATACCTGAAGCGGCTTGAACTCTATGGAACAGAAAAGCCGTATCAAATAACGGTCCGCCCGAAGTATGTCCAAGACTCGGACGCGCAGAAGACAAACATTGTTATCGATCCACAGGTCGTCAAGATTACTGATATCATTAATCGACGGGGTGAATTTAGCACGGATATTCAGGGTTTCGAGCTCGCCACTTTTCCCAGTTCATTATCCTCTGATGAACTCCAGGACTTAGACGAGATTGAGTCTCGTTACTATGCCGAAGCCAAGGAATTTCTCATGCGAAGATATAATGCTCACAGAGTGCTCATATTCGATACGACGGTATGCTCAGTCTGTCGTTCATCCAAGATATCAAGTGTAACGCAATATAGATTAGACGCTCGAAACCAGGTCGCAACACGGACACTACCCTCCTCAAGAACCAACAGATTCTAGGGCCATCCATTGACTGTCATGTCGGTAAGTCACCCTAGACTGTCTCCCAAACCTGCTCGAATGATCTGACTTTAACGACATGACTCTTCGTAGATCAAAGCCCCAATAGCGTTCGCAAGAGAGTGAGGAAGAACTTTCCTAATGACGCAGACCAGCTATTGGCTCAGCGCGTGCAAGTAGTCAAGTAAGCTGATCTAGACCAGCCCGCGTCTTTAGATCTGACAGACCCTATCACAGCATATGGCGAGCTCTCCGCTTCCCATGTCAAATCCGTCCTTTGGGCTTGTGCGACTACAGATCGACCAGACCTGGAGACTATACACCAGCTGATCTTGTCTCATCCGTTTGGGAAGGCGAGACATTGCAAATTTACCACAACCCTAACCACGAGTGGTGGTTCGCCAGCAAGATGGAAGCGGACGACGTGCTTCTCATCAAAATGTTTGACTCTGAGGGAGAAAGGGAGGGTAACGAAACGGCCATGTGTGAGTACCTTCTAGAATTCTTCTTTTCCATGAGTCAAGTTCTGCTTCTGGTATCGAGTCTTGCGGTCTTACCTAGCATGCACGTGGTTCGATATTTTCTAACAAGCACGCTTCGCAGGTACACCTCATTGCTCTTTCGACTGGGAAGACGCCCCTGAGGGATCGCATGGGCGAGAGAGCATGGAAATCAGAGCAATTATATTTTCTGAACTCTAGGAAGCTTGAGACTTTCAACTTTGGGTAATAATAGAAAGCTCCACACTCATTTGATTGAAACGAATTCACTGTGCAATTTCCAGAAGACTTTATGATATTAATGAGAGTTTTTATATCTTCCCCCTTTCCGCTGCTATCAAGTCATAACAATCTTCTTGGACAACACATGTATTAGAGTAAAGAGTGTTTCTCCATGAAAGAATGTCACGGATAAATTTCATTCCTATCAATATGCGACACGTCCTCGAACCAAGCTTCGTATGGTGCTGAGTATCTAATTTGATTAATCATTGATGGGATGCAGGGTAAGGTGTTAAAACTCACTTGAATCAGCCGGCCTTGTTGACGAAGTCATCGTCGTCGTCTTCATCATCGTCGTCGTCCTCATCAGGATTGGGCTGCTTCGGCTTCGCAGCATTACTCTCCTTCTTGGCGGCTATCTCCGCAGCCTTCCGACGAGCTTCGAGCTCATCCTTTACCCATTTCTTCCACGGCTGAGATCTCTGATCTTCATTTGGGTTGCTAGATACCATGTTGCGTGATGATGTTGAAATATTCAAGCTGACAAAGTTTTAGGGGCGAAGTTTTGATGCAAGACCGCGAAACATTGGCGCTTGAGAGTTTCACAGCCTCGAAAACAGGCCCCGAGGCTTAAGTATCCCTCTGTGTGGTATCATGCTCATAAATAGATCAGAATGCATTGAGAGCTCTCTTCCAGTATCTGGCCAACATCACGCTCCGAGCTGTTTGCCGATGGTATGCGTTGATGCATCCTGCTTTTGCCATCCTTCCGTATGCACGGGAATATGTTGGAACACGTAGCCTGTTGGTTGTGGGTGTTGTGTCACCACACCGCTCGGCGAATCTGACACAAAGCTACATCGAGAAGGTCATCATATAATTTCATCGGGCGCGGGTGAAACAGACCACAGCTATCTTGTATGGCTGTTCTAGGTTCCTGCAATTGATCTCAATCAACCACACAGTCTCTGATTGGTGAAGCGTAACTGACAGTCTTCTTTCATTGACTGGAGCCCCGCACACCTTTTACGGCAGTAATGTCACACTGTGGATACGTGTGCCTTCGGGCATTTGGGACAATTTGAGGGGATGGAATATTCGCAGCCTGCCTTGAATGTGCATCAGGACTGAGATATCATAACTGCAGCCAGCTGGTTGTCAGAAACTGTGATCCAAGCCTTGGAATAATTTCGTCTGATTGGATGGCTGACGTACCCGAACTGCATGCTCCTTCCATTGGGGTCAAGTATAGGTACTTTTATGAACACACAGCAATCATTCCTTCCTCTGAAGCCAAGGTATGCACAGGCAGCCACGCAGCCTGATTATCTGGTGCCACCTGCCTGTCTTACAATTCACAACAAATATCCCTGTAAGAGGCAATACCTACCTACCCATCATTGGGACATTCCCCTCCTTCTCACGCAGACAATGATTTTCGACCGCACCAAACGCAAGGTTCTGAGTGGCAATCCCGACCCCGTCCAAATTCTCACCCTCTCCTGATCTTTCGTTAACAAGACTTCTTATGTGTGACCTTTTCGGCCGCCTCTTTCGTCCCCTGCAGGGCTCTACCAGTAGCTACCCTCAGCGAGTTCCCGCAACCATGACCGCGAAAATCGAGGAAGTGATCCGGTCACGTCTTGGCGTAGTGGAGGAAATACTGGAAATCACACATCAGCCTGCTTTGTCGATGGGCGTCATCCATCATGGGAAAGAAGTCTTTAGACACAATCGGGGCATTATCAACAATGAGACTGGCCAAACACCAAACAGCGATACTCTGTACTGCATTGCATCCCTTTCGAAAGCCTTCGTTTCTGCCGCTATAGACATTCTCGTCCAACGTCAGGAGCTGAGTTGGGACACAACAGTGGCCCAAGTTCTTCCAGGGTATGGTCGATATGATCAAGATGCAATGCTCAATGGCATGACGCTTCGAGATATCTGCTCTCATCGGACTGGCCTTCATGGTCTAGACGAAATAATTCAGGGCATGGACGGGCGTATCCTCCTTCCGAAAAGCGAGGTTGTCAATGTCGTCAACGCCCTGCCCAAAAAGTTCGGATTTCGGACAGACTTCCACTACAACAACGCCCTATTCGAATTGGCCGGTGCAATAATTGAACGGATTTCTGGATCCCAGACCTGGGGACACTTTCTCAAGGAAGAGCTGTTCGACCCACTAGAGATGAAGCGGACAACGGCCTTTCGCAGCGTCCACAAGACCGACGACAACATTGCTACGCCATACATGTGTCTGACAGACGGCTCGCTATGCAAAATAGCACCCACCGAGCTATCTGCGGATTCTATGAACGGTGGCTCTGGAGGACTCCGCAGCTCCGTGAATGATCTGCTCAAGTGGTGTTCCAGCCTGTTGGCATCCTTTGATGAGAAAAGCACCGCCAACCCCATTCGTCACAGATCACCAATCTTTGATCGCGCCAATATGGCCAATCCGAGCTCTGTTGAAGATGGCGACTACTGCACCGGGTGGTGCTATCACCAAACCCCCTCGAAGCTGGGATTAATCTCCCCTAATCGAAGCCTGCTCTCACCAGTTCTCGGGACCAATTCTGAATCCTTACTCGTCTACGGCCATCAAGGCGACGTTCCCGGGTATACGTGTTCCTTGTATCTTATCCCAAAGACTCAGTCTGCTATTGTCGTCCTATCCAACGGTACTGGCCTCTCTGACGCTACCGACTGGATTGCCCAGGATATCCTCCAGGCGATGTACAGCCTGAAGCCAACCGTGGATTTTGTCTTCACTGCGCATCAGGCATCCATTCTATACAAAACCACGTTCAAGAGGCTGTTTCAGTTGCCTCTCGAGGAACATAGAAAGATGGGTACGCCTACTCCGCCCTTGGACGACTTCACTGGGGAGTATGTAATGGAGAACCTGGACATCGCCACTCTCAACATCAAAGCTGGCCCGGAAACCTCATCAACTGGTCTTCGAATGAGAGTCAATGGTCTCGCGGACCAGGAGTACCACTTGTGGCATTATCATGCGGACGTATGGTGTTATCTTCCGGAGAGCGCTGACCAATGTTTGAGACGTGGTCTCGACAGAAGTGACTGGACCTCATACCTTATCTCATTTCAGAGGGATGCAGAAGGTCAAGTCGAGAAGTTGGGATGGGATATGTGTGGTGTGAGTGTTGTTTTCTACAAACGAAAATGAGATTATGGGAGCACTGCTGAATCTTGATGGATGGTGAGAGAATGGAATATGAAGCTGGTGACGGGAAGCAAGGATGAAAAGGCGCAGCAAAGGCCGTAGTTACGTTAATTAACTTCAATTGACAAGACAACCGCCCAAGCCGGGATATCGATCTATAGCTTCTATACACAACTCTCGCCAGAACAACTCCCATGACCCAAAACGCCATCTAAACCATCGTCTATCCTTTGCCCTGAAATGACCAAGTCTAAATTCGAAGAACAGCAATACCGGAGATAGTGCGATTATCGTCAGAGAAGATCTTCTTCTTCTCAGATCCATCCACATTGCAGCGATAAATGCTGCCGCCAAGATCGCTGAAGTAAACATGTCCGTTCTCCTGGTCTAGCTTGACACCGATCGCCTCATTGAGATGTCTCACCAAGATCTCATACTTCTTGGACCCCTCAGACAGCAACAACAATCCCGTCATAGGATCGATATTCGCCCGGTTGAGCGTGTTGCCCTTGGGAATCTCTCCACGGTCAGTCCAGAAAATAGTATGTGTCTCCTCGTCAACTTCCAAGTCAATCGGCTCTGGCAAGTCGCTAAGGAAACACTCGATATCGTCTCTCGTCTCAGCCGTCTTGCCCGCCGGCATCTCAATGTTCGCGCAGAAGATGCGGCCCTGTCCGGACTTTGGCGCGCCCTTTTGGGTCCAGTAGAACTTGCCCAGCTTCGGCGCGACGGAGATACCGACGCACCAGGTCTTCAGATCCGAAGCGTCGTTGCCACCAATGACGAGTGTCTCGAGGTCGCTTCCGTCGAGGTTGGAGCGGTAGACTTTCATACCCTCGCGGTCGCAGAAGTAAATCTTTTTGGAGGCCGGTTCGATAACGAGTTGCTTGGGCGTGTTGATGGTACCAGGCTCGAAGAGGGACTTGACGTCTGTACCATCGATGTTCGAGGATAGGACGGCGCCGTCTTGCTTGCCTGGTGTACCCATGCACGTCCAGATCATGCGCTGAGTGTCGTTGGCGTCAATGTCGATGCCGTCGGGGACGTGTTGCCGGTCGACCAGGACGCGCTCTAGTTTGCCCTCCGACGAGAGCTGGAGGACTTGTCCGGAGGCTGAAGCGTCGTTTTCGTTCGCCAAGCCGAGGTCGAGGGCGACGATCTTGGGGAGATGGGGGTAAAGACCACCCTTTGCTGACTTGTTGCCGAGACGGCCCTTGGAGACGTACTCGCGTTGCAGGAAGTTGACTGTGTTCTCGGGAGACAGGCCGCGCTCCTTGACGTAGTGGTCTTCGATGAAGGCGACGGTGTCGAGACCGACCTCTGTGATTTCGTTAGCTGCTTGATCTGCGGAAAACTTGCGTATGAATGCAAACTTACCGTCCATCATCGTGCAAGGACCCTTGCCGTGTTTGCTGAGTTCGTAGAATAGCGTATCAATCTCCTCGGGACTCGACACGCCCTCAGCGAGAATTGACAATGTTTCTCTCTTAATCGCAGCCCATAGCCGGTTGAAAACAAAGCCAGTAGACTCCTTGCGCGCAGTAAACGGTCTCGTTCCAACCTCCTTCTGCCTCTCCGTCATGAAGGGGAAGATCTCCGGGTTCGTGAAGCCATCCGTCATCAGCTCGACAACCATGTTGTGTGGGGGCATGTAGTAATGTGTGTTCATGATGCGTGTCTTGGTCTCATCCCTCACTTTGCCGAGCATTTCTGAAGATCTGTACGACGAAGAGTTGCTGGCGAGGATGGCGTCTGCGGGGGCGTGAGCCTCCAAGTCGGCAAAGGTGTCCGTCTTGATTTGGATCCGTTCGGGGACG